CACTATGAAAGAGTCGGCCTCCCCTCACAGCAACCCTCTGGACCACGGAATGGCACAGTGCTTGTCCCCGCCCTCCTCACAACTGTTGTCACGTGTGAGCCTGTGGCTGTCGCCAGTGTGTGGGTTCGTTCACCTTGCGGAAGATCATCCTCTGTGGAGTTGTGATGGCCTGGATGGCGCAGAGCAAGGAGTCTCGGGAGTACTTCACCTAGACTGGTCCAAAGTACTTGGGACCAAGAGGCTTGCCATCCTCACTTCTAAGGAGCATCCTCGCTGTACTGCTTCCAAGATAGAGTGGCTTGTTTTCCTGGCATTCCGCGGTATATCCATCTGGTCCCCCAACCATATAATTCCAAGACAGCAATTCTGCTGTTTGATACTTTAAAGAGTTCTTTTGCAGCAGATTTGCCCAGTATCATGTGCCATTTGATTTTGTGATCGCTGCTTCCTTGGACATTGAATAAAGTGAGATCCAAGTTAACGTCGATCTTTTCTTGTTTACCAGGATGTTACGCATTGGTCCACTTGTGAGAGTGCTTGTGTTCCTCGTGTTGAGGTGTAACCCCACTGAAGGCTGTCGTCTTTGGTCCTCATCAGCGAGTGCCTTCACCTCCCGTGGGTTCCCGTGAGCAAGGTTGTGCCAGCTGCACATTGCAGGTGTCAATGAGCTTGCCTCTAACCTTGTGCTCTTCACAGAAGCAGCCCAGCGTCTCCATGATTTGCATACAGATTGGATAAACAGGGTGAAAGGATATAACCCTGAAACACTTTCACGTTGAAGCAACTGCAAATCACCTGAAGCTGTGGGACTCCGGGAGCTCAAGTCCAGGACCCACATTCAGAATCAGAGCATGGCCAACACCCAGCGTCAGGAGGGCAGGCCAGTGTCAGATCAGCGGTTCCCAACCTTCCTAACGCCGCCACCCTTTCATACAGTTCCTCATGTGGTGGGGACCCCCCCCCAACCATAAAATTATTTTCGTTGCTACTTCATCACTGTCATTTTGTTACTGTGATGCATCGGGGGACCCCTGTGATAGGGTCGTTTGACTCCCGCGAGGGGGCGCAACCCACAGGTTGAGAACTGCTGGTCTAGATGATCTCAAAAAAGAGATTATTTTCAAGCCTCAAGAACTAACGTTAATTGTTCTGTTGGGTGTTTCGCTTGCTTGGAGTGAGTTATCCATTCTTGGGATGTTGTCTGATCTAGATTGGAGCAGCCCAAGGCTAAAGTGCACCAACAACAATCATAAATACTTGTTAACCTAGTGAATACGGAACATGCCAGTAAATTCCAAAACCACATTTCTGGCTCTAGGCCTCAGGTGTCTACAATCCTTGGACTATCTTCAAGTGATACAGATCACTTATAAATATCCCTAATTTCAAAGGTTATCTGCTAAAGAGAGGCCAATTTTTAGCTACTGTATATACTCATATATAAGCCGATTTTTAAAGCACATTTTTTAATGCAGTTTTTGTGGTAAAATTAGGTGCCCTGGCTGATATTCGGGTCGGCTTATACTCGAGTATATAGGTAGATAATCAGTATCTGTTCATTAGACAGAAACAATAATAAAGCTAATAATTGGTGCTACTAATATAGTAGCTAGGGAGCCCTGGTGGCATAGTGGGTTACAAATTGGGCTGCGAACTGCAAGGTCAGCAGTTTGAAACCAACAGTTGCTCTCCAGGAGAAAGATGAGGTATTCCACTCCCATAAAGAGGGATCCTTCTGGAACCCCACGGGACAGTTCTACCCCGCCCGCACAGTGTCACTGCGAGTTGGAATCAACCCCGTTCTTTGGGCAACATTGAATTTTACTGTTTTCCCGCCCTGTTAATCAAGGGTATGTTGAGTCAGAATTTGGTCTCGAGCGGATTGACTGTACAGGAATAGCTTCAGCAAAATTTCGGCTATTGGTACTTGAGCCAGTTATGTTCCTTAAAATTAATAAAATTTATGAATTCATACTGTCTAGATGATACAACGGCGTTCTAGAGGCACAGCGGGTTGAGAATTGGGCTGATAACCAAAAGGTCAGGCTTGCGGACCCACCACCTGCTTCACGGGAGAAAGATGTGCTAGTCTGTTACAGGGCGGAGATGGACCGCCCGGCAAACCCTACGGAGCAGTTCTACCCTGTCCTACAGGGTTATTATGAGTTGAAAAAATAGACTCAGTGGCTGTTGTTTTATAAGTCAGTATCCTGCCAATTTGACTTACAGTTGTTTTAATTCAACAAATACCTCTTGAACATCTATTTTACGGCAGGCAATAAGCTAGAGGCTGGGGATAAGCAGGGGACAGGGCTGCCAAACCCTGCCTTTACAGTGTGATGATTTATCATGGGCCTGGCTAAGCTGAACTCAAGCGATAAGATCGAATTCCTGGCCTTTCGGGCAGGGCTAAGCCACTGGGTGAACAGTCAGGCCCTTCTGCCCTGAATTACGACTCTCCATCCCAAGAAAGAGAAAGGAAGGCGGGAGGGGAGGAGAGGAGGAAGCAGCAGGATCCCTTGAGGCACTATTGGCCCTGGAAGGACCCGGGAAGGGGCTGAGACCAGGCAGAACCACAGCATAAAGCCCTGAGGCCAAGCCTCACCCATCTCCTGAAGCTCCCTGAAGGCCAACTAAGCCCTCAGAGCAGGAAGAAAGAAGAAGGCGGTGTATGTGCAAGTTCTCCGTAAGGACCTTACAGAGCCTGCGTTCAGAAGTATGTCTGGGAGAGTTCTCATTTTAAAAGCTTTTACAGTTGTTTTATTACCCAGTTAGGGTCATACCCTAAGAAAGGTAAGACATTTAGAGCATACCAGTCAAAAACCCAGGGGAAGAAAGGGTTACAACTTAACTCATGCTTTTTTGTCTCTCCCTGGGTAATGACACAGTGAAGGCAGAAGCTGGCGTCCTAAAAGCTTTAGCCTTTTCCACTGGATGTGTCAGACATGGTACCGGGCTGTGCAGTCAGTGAGTCTACATCTGGGCCTCAGGTGGGCCCACTGTAAGCCTGCGATGTGGACAGAAGGCTATTGCCACCTACATCAACAGAGCAGCGTCTCCGACCTGCTGTCCGGAGAGGAGAGCTGAGGAAATCAGCAGTTTGTACCCATTCATGCTATGGAGCGTCCAGGGCCTTGGCCCTGGGGAATTGCCAGGTGCTAGCTCGAGTGGCTCTGCAGGGGCGGACCGAGTCGTCTGGGCCTCGCTTCTCGTTTTGCCAACTTCAAGGTTATGATGATCTCACCCGGAAAGTCTCTGCAATGCATGCAGTGACTTAATCCCCGTCCACGCCAGGCTGACCTGAGAAAGGACAGCAGAGAGCGGTGGCCGGTTTCTGGTGCTTGGATTACCTGGTGCTTCATAAAGCCTTACGGAAGGCAATGGCTGGGGCTGCCTCTGCCTTTATCACCAAGATAAACACCTACACTGTCTTCCCTATTGGGGAGAGAGGCCGCAGGCAACGTGCAGGGTGTTCCTGTGTGCCTCACTCTGAGCTGGGCGAGCTCAGAGAGGCTTCGGGATTCCAACTTACGGCAGCGTCAGGTGGGCCAGAATGGAAGTGGGCTCAGGGGGGTTTTCCAGGCAGACCTTCCCGAAACAGCCTGTCAGGGCCCTCTCCCCAGGTGCGTCTGGGCGGACTCAACCTTTCAGCCAGCAGCCTGGTGGGTCAACACTTGTCCCAGGGGACAAGACTGAAGCCAATCTGGGCTGATAGCTGAAGTCAGTTCCCAGTGGGGCGGGGTGGGGTGGGGGGTGTCTCGGGAACTTGTTAAGTGCAGGTGTGGAGTGGAGAGGCATGACGAGAACAAGGGGCCCACCGGTGTTGGTAACACCAAGGGAAGCCTCACCGGCTCTTGGCAGAAGGGTACATTCCACTGCAAGGTGCTGAGACCATCAGGGAAAGGACTGGGAGAGGGAAGGGGAGGGGCCCAAGCTCCTCCTTTCCCTCCAGTGTGACTCCCCTGGCCCTCCTCCATGTGGCCGCATTGCCAGCACCTGCTTCTCCGCTCCCTCCGAGCCACGCAGAGGCTGAGACACCACTCACCCCTTGGAGTGAGGGTCAATGACTCAGAGTGGTGTGTGTCTTTCTGGTAGCCATGTTTACTGGCAAGGCTGGACTCTCCACCCTGATCTTCTGCTTTGCCCTCTTGGAGGTGCCAACGATGCCAAAGTGACATGAAACCAAAGCAGTACACTGTGTGTGTGTGGGGGGGGAGGGGGGCGGACGGGGGACCCGAACCTATCCAAAACCAAACAAGACTTTTGTTGCGTGAAAGCCATGGAGATTTCTGGGTTGGTAGCCGATCCTAATACCCCCTCTTTCTGACAGTCTCTTCCTTACCCACCTCTCCCTTTCTGAACACCTTACTTTGCTCTATAAATACCTGGTGTTACCATTGTGCACAGACCTGTATTTGAGAGACAAGCCCATCCAGCCCCCATGCAACAAGCCATGCAGCACAGCCAGCAGCATTCCTCAGGGGCAGCCTCTGCCCAGGGCACCAGCTCAGCAGAACAAGCACACAGCGCTCCTCGGGAACTTTGTCCGGAAGACCGCAGGCGCTGGAGCACTACGAAGCCGATTCACACCCATCGATAAGTTATCAAGAGAACTCCTCCTCATTGTCACGCTTTAGGCTCCAGGTCACCCGGGCCCCCCGCCACGTCACTAAGTTATTTCAGATGGTGGAAGTCACTTTAGAGACTAGCAGAGAATGAAAGAGCAGGGGAATGCAGGAGGTACCTGGGTAAGCGTGCATCTATAAAGGAGCACAGGAGATGGGTGCTGGGGCACAGTCAACAAGAATAACATGCTCTACCAGGTGACTTGACGTTGGCATGTGACAACCGCTGTGGAGCATGGTGTGGCGGACGGTGTGACACACGGACACGCAGCCAGGGACGAGGAGAGGGGAAAGGAAGGGCATCGCGGCTCTGGAGGGGAAGGGGGACGTGCCAGGAGAGCGCGAGCTGGGCGGAGGAATAGGAAGTTCACTTACTGCCTGTTTTTGTTCTTCCTCCTGGAGGCGTTGAAGATTAAAGAACCAAACCAAACCAAGAAAGGCAGAGGAGAAAGGAGAGAAATTAATGCCCAGTACCACAGACATTTGGAAGAAATGACAGGAGAGTTGGGAAAACCAGGTCACGCCCAGGGTGGTGGTGGTGGTGGTGGTGGGGTGGGGTTGGGGCTGGTGGTGGTGTGTGTGTGATATCCAAGGCCCCGACCAAGTAAGAACACCAACAGGGCAGAGCAAACGGCAGGAGTCAGCCCTGCCCGGTTGGCAAAAAGTGAATGTCCCAGGTTGGAAGGAACCTTAGAAATGATCGAGCCTGACTTCCTCATTTATAACTAAAACAGGCCTACAGACAAACAAACAAACAAACAAAAAGCCCCACCCCTAAACCCAAACCAACTTGCTGCCCTTGTGTTGATGCCGCCGACTCTCCCTGGCCCTATAGGTCAGGATAGGACTGCCCCTGTGGTTTTCCCAGACTCCATGGAGTTGAAGTTTCCGTCTCCCCACTCCACCCCCACCCCCCGTGGAGTGGTTTCGAATCACTGACCTTACAGATCACAGCCCAATGCCTAACCACTATGCTACCAGGGCTCTTGGCAACCATGCCTGGAAAGCTTGATTTGCCCAAGGTAAGCAGAGAGCAGCAGCCCACTCATGAAGCACAAGGCCGGTCATCAATAGCCAGTTCGGTTTCATCATTCACAAGATTCACACGTGGCAGGCTCCTTGGCGGCCTCAAAGTGTAGAATACAAGCCAGCAGCGGAAGCACCAACTGGGAGCTTGTCGGAGATGAAAGTGCTGGGGCTCCACCCCAGGCGCTGGGGGCCCCGGCCCGACAATGCGCTCTACAAGCCTTCCAGGTGATTCTCAGAACTTCTGACCAGTTTCATCTCTGACTTGGCCGACCCCACCCCCCTGCCCCACCTGAACTTGCGCCCCCTCCCCCATGCGCTCAGGCTGCTCTGTGGGTTTCTTATTTCCCCTCCCGCGGACGCACATGTATATACACTTGTCCTGATTGAGTGCAAACTGCTCTAGAGCCCTTGCAGATCTGTGAAACACATTCTCCACCTCAAGTTTGTCCTGAATTCAACCGAAACCCAACAACTTCCTATGGTGAATTCGGTGAAGGCTATGTACTTAATGCTTCTTATGTTATCAGGTGCTGGAACCATAAAGCTAAAATGATGTGTCTCCCCTTTCTAGAATCTTCCGGGGGTGGGGGTGGGGTGGGGGGGACGCACTTGCTGACCATCAACGGACTAGCCAGTGAATTCACAACCAGCACCCAGGAGAAAGCAGCACCCTGCTGATGAGATCAACACCCTGAGCGACGGACTCGTCTTTCCATGGGCCTCTCTGCTTCCTCTTCCTGGGACCCACCCAGAGTGAGCGTGGTAAGGGAGTCTCAGCGCTCCATCCTCAGGACACAACTTTTTTAAAAGGTTGCAATGCTTCCATTGACATTGGCTCCATCCGTCCAGGCGGGCTTGACGAGGGCGTCTCAAGGGTGGCCGAGGGCTTCTCCTTCCACCCAGTCTGCTGACGCTGCTGCGGCGACGCCTGCAGCGAAGCTGAAAGCTGACAGGGTGTGTGGCGGCTCGAGGGCAAGGGTTTTTCTTGTTTGCAGGAGCGAGTTCCAGACAAGACACGAAGTGGAAGTGGGCGTTGAGAGCTCTGTGGCGGAAGACGCTGGCTCTACGCTGGGCAAGACGATGTCTTCATACGCAAAGCCAGATGCCTGACCAGACCTGCACGGACAAGGGCTCGGGTGAGGAGGCCCTGGGCCACTCGCTGAGCGTCCAGTCAGCAGGGGTTCTGGGTCTGTGGCCTCCCCCTTCCTGGTGGCATGTCTGTGCAGCACTGGCCGCAGCCACGGGAGTATCACGGCAGTGAGCACGCTGTGTGTGCTTCGGGCTGGCTCTCCGTGTTGGCATGGAGCGGAAATGATGGGCGAGGAACAGGCTGACCCCGACAGGCTGAAACAGTGCATCATCTCTTAGACCTGCTTCACACACTTGACCCCAGGTTTGGTACTGGAGCGCAGTGCTTTTGTTCGCAGAGTGATTTTGGAAAGCAGCCTTTCATGTTTGTGCAGTGAATGTCTCTGCTACATGTACTTTGTCCACAACCATGAAATCATTATAATCTGGGGGGGAGGGGTAGCCATGGGTTTCAGGCTGGGAAGGATGGACAGGGCATTCTCTGGGCTTAGATGTCTCCCACGTGCAGTGGGTGTTGGGAGTTGAATACTTAGGGTGATGGCGTACAATTTAAACTCACAAAAGTTACTCCCATCAAGCCCTTCAGGGTCTGTGAACACAGTAAGCAGGTCAGAAGCGAGCAGAAGGTCTCGGGATGTCTTTCTTGTCAGTTAGTCAGCGTGGGGGGTGTGTGTGTCAATGAATGCTGACTCACAACAAGGTACAGGCACCAGCTTGAAGTAAAGGGAACGATGAGCCCTGAATTCTGAAGTGCAAATCGAGAAGGAACTGCTTATGCTCCCGGCCACATGGCCAACGTCACAGCAGAGCCACTGTGATCTTAAAAACTTACCTCAAATACAGGCAAGCATTTGCAAACGGGGGTAAAATTCAAAGACTGCAGAATTCATCTGGGAAGTGTGTTTCAAAAGCAATACTGGAAAAGTGGAAGATGAGGTTGCAAAAACTTTGGGAGCGTGAGTTAAAAACAGAAACACCCACACATCGCTGCTTCTGGACTAAACAGGAAGCTTGAGGTAGAGGTTATCTATGTATTCATTAATCAGGAGGGGAAAAAATAAGGGGAAAAACAGATGCAGAAACAGAGTTAAATCTTGTGCATAATTATACGCCAAATACCTACCTACACGGCACATTTAGGAACCCAGCACTGTTTTGGTTAAATGAACATCTCATTTTTCTCTTGAACCCTGTCTTGTCCTAACGACTTATATGTGTTTCATATGTATGTGTTTTTAAAATTACTGTTTTCAGATAAACATATGATAAAGTACATGATACTTTACTGAAACAGCGGAATGAAAGAACTCCTTGTGAAACGGAAATCGACTGTGTGATGCATTTTAATATCTAGGCACCCCACTGACCGTTTGACTAACTGCTTACAGCTGTTTTATGAGAGAATTAAATGCTAGCAGACCGAACATCAATGAAGCAGGGCGGTCCCTTGAAATTAAAATTCAGATTCCAAAGGGTACATTTTATTATGGGCTGTTGAGTATTTTTTTTTTAAATACGAGGAAAACAGCTTTGAAGTGTAATAGAAATCAATGATTCAATATAGAACTTAGGTGGGACTTTCACAGATGCAAATGATACACAAATTAGGTCGAGGAGGGTAGACACTAAAGGCATGAGATTGTTCAACTGTGAATTCTACTTAATGAGTGAAATCACAACATCCCTGGGTTTGGTGTTTGCAAATTCTTCTCCCGGCTCTGAATGGCTTTGGCCTATCAGATGGGTAAATAACATGACATTGAGGAGACTGGCAGGGGAGCCTACACACATGGGGCTGCCATAGGGGCCTCTTATTTTACTGGAATCGCAACTGTAAGGCAACAGCTGGAAATACAGAGACACTCAGGGGGTGCGGCTAGAGTTCCAGGCATTAGCGCGTTCTGCTTAGCTCTTGAGCATCAGCAAGGTGGTGGGCGGGGCTCAGAGCCAGGAACACAAGAAACCCAACTGCTCCTGTTGCCTATGACAAACTGAACTCTGCTCCACAGGGGAGAAGCACTCAGGCATCTGATCAGTGCACTTCAACCTTCGCCTTTGACCCAGATCGCAGCACGAATTGCCTTCCTATCTGTGTCTGAGCACTGTGTGAGGGCATTGTCCTCAAGGGCTGGGAGGACCCTCCTATTATCTCCTGTCTGGCAGGGGGGCTGCTTTCCACAAAAGCAGGGCTTTTAAAGCCCCAGAAGGCCAAGTATGTTTAAGGACACCTCAGGTTTCTGAGTTGGTGGCTGGGTTGCTTAGCTGGCTATCTGGCCATTATTCGAGGGAGTTGGGCCAAGTTTTATGCATAAGGCTGTTGTTTAAACAAGTCCCATTTAGGACATACAATATTTCCTAGGAGAAATCCTGTTAGTCAGCCACCCAAACACCCAGGACTAAAGCTAGAAAAACCAGCCCAGGCCTAAAAGAAGTAATGGTCTTAAGTAAAACCAAACCCAAACCAAACTCACCGCCATTAAGTTGATGCCGACTCATTGGGACCCTACAGAACAGGGGAGAACTGCCGCTGTGCGTTTCCAAGGCTGACTCTTTATGGGAGTACAAAGCCTCGTCTTTCTCCTGTGGGGTGGTTGGTGGTTTCCAACTTCGGACCTGTAGCTAGCATCCCAGGGCTGCTGGTGATGCTCAAAACCAGTTTAAAACATAAACACTATGCCACTGGGTCTCGTCCCAATGATAGGGTCTCCAACCCTTGAGCTCTGCCCCTTTCCAGCCCATTTTGTGCATTGCCCTACCTATGGTCTTCAAAACCTTCAAAGACTCCCCTTTCCTATAGGGTGAGGTTCACCCACCTCAAGCCTGGCTTTTAAGGCACTCCATCTGCAGTGATTTTCCCTCTGGTCACTAACTTTGTCAATGCACAAAATACAGATGTTTCAAAGCACAGCAGACAGGAAATTGGGAGCAGGCAGCATGAGCAAGGTGCTACAGAAATGGAAAGAAACACAGGCATTGGTCTTTCCAGTCCCAGGCATCACTTCCTGTTGCTGAGCTCCTGAACACAGGTGTCAGATGGGCACATACTCCTGTTCAGTGCCCAGTCAGCTGGTCCAGGTAGGACGCTGACATCCCAGCTATGCTTTTCTGTTTGGAGGTCTGTTGTCAGCTGCCACTGAGTTGGCCCGGACTTGTGGTGGCCCCGGGCACAAAGGAAAGAAATGTGTCCCAGTCCTGCACCAGTCCCACGATCAGGTGCAGCTCAAACCCTCGTGACCTGGAGGGTTCACACTGGCTGGTTTTTGGAGGCAGACTGCCACGCCCTTCTGTCTAGTGCATCTTGGTTTGGAAGCTTGACTCCAATCCGGTCAGCATTTGAAAACAAACCAAAACTCATGGGGTGCACTGATGGGCATCCAAGTCCCGCCTCCAGAATGTAAGGTAAGGATTTTACCACTGAACTGCCAGGGCCTTTGGCTCTGGTGTCTAGTGGTCATCATAAAAATTCCCACACAAATAGTAATACATGCTTGATTTATTCAGGTCCCAGTAGAGCAAACCCAGAATTGGTATGCAATTTTATTCCTCATATATTAAGGCCCTTGATTAGAATTAGTTGAGATGGGGCTGGATTTGATTAAGTTGACTTGCCTCTGTACTACTTACATAAAACAAGACACTTCCTATTTGTTGGGCATTGGGATAAACTACTTGAAAATTCAGGAGAAAATCAGTTCAGAATTACTATTCAAATATACATAACTAAATAATAGCCTATTCATAAATATCCTTATTTATTCACAGCAGCAACCACTTAAGATGATCCTGTTTCCAGCTATTACATAATTTTTAAATTCCATAGACCACATCTGCAGAAAAAGATGCTGGAACTTAATACCATTACCAAAAAAGAAGGCCAGGGTTGATTGTGGAATAGATCAATTGCTTATATGCAAGTCAGGTTGAAGCTAAGGAAGATTAAAGGAAGCCCATGAGAGAC